GCATAGTCTGAGAGTGACCAACACCAAGAGTAGATAATAATCCCCGTAACCACTTCAACTCGCACAATGTAGTAGCCATAGCCCGATATTCAGCCTCAACTGAAGAGCGTGCGACAGTAGGTTGTTTCTTGGTTCGCCAAGAAACACGAGACTGACCTAGCTGAATAAACCAACCAGAAAGAGAGCGCCGAGTGAGAGGGCAAGACGCCCAATCTGAATCACACCATGCATAGAGTTGAAGATCGCAGTCAGTACGAAGATGAATCCCTTGACCAGGAGAACTTTTCAAATATCGAACCACACGTAGAGCAGCGTCTCAGTGAGACTGACGCAGTTGATGCATAAATTGAGAGAGCATATTCACCGAATAAGACAGCTCAGGTCGAGTCACTGCCAGATAGATAAGACGTCCGACTAAACGATGATATCGCTCGGGATCAAACAATAGATCGCCCTCAGCAAGAGAAAGCTGATGATTCTGCTCTAATGGAAAATCAGCTGGCTTGCTCCCTAGTAATCCGACCTTAGCTATGATGTCAAGAGCATATATTTCCGCTGGCAGAGAAAGAAACTAGAAGAATTCCGGGAAACCTCGATACCCAAAAAGTACTTAAGCAATCCAAGATCCTTCATGTGAGAACAACGACTCAAGTAACCCTTGAAGGTCGTAATGGATGTGGTATCATTCCCGGAAACAATTAGATCATCAATATAGACCAGAACCTGCAGATGGACAGAACCACGATGCAGTGTAAAAAGAGAGTAATCATGATAGGACTGACAAAAACCATACTGCTTTAAAGCCGTAGTCAACTTGGCAAACCAGCAGCGGGGGGCCTGTTTCAAGCCATAGAGGGAACGACGAAGACGGAAAACCTGCCCATCAACGCCAGAACGAAAACCAAGAGGAAACTTCATGTAAACCTCCTCAGCCAAATCACCGTGAAGAAAAGCATTGTGAACATCCATCTGGTGAACTTCCCAATGCTTAGCAGCAGCCACATCCAAGAATAACCGGACTGTAACCATTTTGGCGACGGGAGAAAACGTCTTGTGATAATCAAGACCTTCTACCTGATTATTGCCCAAAATCACCAGACGCGCTTTATAGCGCTCAACGGAACCGTCAGACTTATGCTTGATCTTAAAGACCCATTTGCACCCAATCGCAGGCTTCCCATATGAAAAAGAAACTACATCCCATTTGCCATTAT